AGCTTTACGGCAATTTTACGTACATCGACTTCAAGTTAACTAGCTGGATATCAAGGACACTCTGAACTAGAAAGAATATTTTATGTTGTTTGTAATTTAGTGAAATTTTTGTTTATAAAACTTTGTTTGTGGTAACTATTTGTAATAATTGTTGTTGTAAATAGTACTGTTATTAAGCTTGATAAATTACAGTGATTCAAATGTATATATAAAACATAATAAAAATATTTTGTTTCATATCTTCCAGGAGAAGGCTCGGTCTGAATGAGGTTGGAAAGAAGAATCCCCCCAAAAGAATGGACTTTCCTTTTGTCATCAGAAGAGGAGTGTGGACTCTGGACTGAGAATAAGAAGAAGCAAGCAGGAGCCAGTCAAACAAGAGATGGAATAATTCAAGACTCATAGAGTGAATTAGTCTGGCAAAAGTATGTATTCCCGGACAAAACATAAAGAGCTGTCTAGGATCATGAACACAGGAAAAGGAACCAAAGCTAAGCTCAGCCCTATGAACAAGAAAGAAACAAACACATCAGTGAAGTAACAAGGCAAGATTTTAAGTACTACACCGAATGAAAATTAAGAAGGGAGAGCACAATTGAAGTGAACACTCATGAAAAAATTCAGATAGAACAATAAATAAATATTACTAGTAGTAATGATATGTAACGTACCAACCATCGAAACATATCCAGTAAACAAAGGACTGACAAACATTAAATAGGCAAAGTATCAACATTTTTCTAGTCCACAAAGAATGTAAAAATAATGAACAAGTCAACTGACAGAAATTACAAAATAAAACACAATACTAAGCAATATCTAAGGTACCAAATAAAGTAACCTAGCCAACAAGAACACAGAATTAAGTCTTATACTGACATAAATGAGGATGAGAAGGTACATACTTAACAATGACAAAAAAATTATTCAAAGAGAACAAAGAATTATTTGTTACTAGAAGTAATGATATGGAAGATATAATCTAACAAAACATACCCAACTAACAAAGTACATATATATGAAATGGACAAAAAACCTAAATATACCCAGTCGACAATGTATGTACTAAAAACAAACTTAATACATAAAATATCAAATAAAATTAATCAAATGAGACATCAATGTTTTTTACTTGAACAATTTACTTGTAAAATTTAAAAAAAATAAGTTAAAAGTAAAAATTTTAAAAACTCTACATGTTTCAGTGGAAATAATTTCTCCATTTTCAGGAGAATAAACCATGAAGTACACATGAAGTTTCTTATAAACCAATGTATGTGTATAATTAGCATTATAGTAATGATACATTAATTGAGTTCCAGAGGCATCTGGATTCCTATCAGCCCTACTATACAATTCACTTTAGAAGATGAGGATGAGGATTGTTTAAACTTTTTAAATTTTAAGTAAAAAAGATAGAGGGGCTTTCTGTCTACAGGACACCATTCTCAGTTACCGTGTTGCCGCACGTAAGATCATGTCACCCATGGTCACAAAAAATGTCCTCATTTTTGTCTTTTGTTTATAGGGCAATTAATGTCTCCTCAAATGATGAGGATTTAATGTTAGGATTAACACATTTAAAACAAGTAGCAATTGAAAGAGGGTATCAACCTAAAATCATAGATAGGATGTATAGTAAATTTCGTAATGAACTTCAAATTTCTGGATGTACTGAATTGCAGATAACCAAAAAAAAAGGAAGGTAGAGATAAAATATTTTTACACTATGTTTCACCATGGTCAATAAAAATAGGTAATGTGTTAAGGCAAAATATGAATTGCTAAGTAACATTTACTCCTCAATTAAAATTAAGTCATATAATGGTTCGAAAGATAAAACTGAATCAAGGGATAAATGTGGTATGTATAAAGTTTCATGTATTTGTGGTCTAAGTTGTATTGGACAGACAAGTAGGAACTTAAAATTTAGAACAAAAGAACATCAAAATGCAGTGGATAAATTAAAAAAGGGTGAATCGAATTTGGAGGAGTGTGGTGAATTCTACACAAAATTGACTGGATTAATGTAAAAATACTCAAACAGGTAAAGGGAAAAGATTAACTAAACATAAGAAAATCAACAGAAATTGTTAAAAACAAAATGTGTATAAACAGAGATTTAAGCCCAGGAGACATGGAAGTACATTTTTGGAAATCGTTGTTGTTTATAGATGGTGCCATTGTAAAAACATGATAATTATACATGTACATAGGTTTATAAGGAACTTCATGTGTACATCATGGTTTATTTTCAAACTTTACAAATAAAATATTGTG